CGCGCGGGGGGGACGCGGACATGACGGACATGACGGACGGCGGCGGGGATCGAATCGGCGGCGCGGGGCTCGAGACCGAAGAAGGGCAGCGCCGCGCCGCGGAGACTGCGGCCGCGGCCGCGGTCGGGAACATCCTCAGGCAGCGCCGAGGCGGCGGCGCGACCGCGACGACGACGACGACGACGACGACGACGGACGCGGCGACGAACGCCGCGACGGCGGCGACGGCGGCGTACCGGAGCGCGATGGAAGCCGGGTCCCTGCGCGTCGTGAACGCGGACGGGCAGCCCGCGACGATGCACCCGGGCGGCGGCGGCGGCGCGAACGCGACCGCGGCGGCCGCGGCGGCCGCCGCCGCGGCCGCAGCGGTCTCCGCCGGTGGCGCGGGCGACCAGCCGTGCACGGTGAAACTCCGTTTGTGGCCTTACGACCACGCGAACCCCCTCGTGCCTCTGACGGGCGCGCGTCTGACGATCCCGCACGCGGTGTTGTGCTCCGAGATGGGCGCGCACTTCTCTCCGTGCGGAAAGCTCCTCGCCGCGTGCGTCGCGTGCGTCCCGGTGGGCGCGGACGCGCCCGTGCCCGGCGTGGCGATCCCTAACCTCGTGTACGAGCTCCGGGTGTACTCGTTGGAGTCGCGGAATTTCGGCGAGGTGCTCGCGGCGCGCGCGGTGAGAGCCGCGCACTGCCTGACGTCCATACAGTTCTCGCCGACGTCCGAGCACGTCATGCTCGCGTACGGTCGACGCCACTCGTCGCTCCTGCTTCTCGTCGCCGACGGCGCGTCGTGCGTGACGGTGCACACGATTCTCGAGGTGTACCGCGCGAGGGACATGTCGTTGGCGCGCGTGCTGCCGAGCGCGGAGGACGAGGTCAACGTCGCGTGTTTCCACCCATCGCCCGGCGGCGGGCTCGCGTACGGCACGAAGGAAGGGAGGCTGCGGATCATGCGTTACGACCGCGGCGGAGGACACCGCGCGCCGGTGCGGCCGCTCGCGTTGGGGCGGTGCTTGGAGGACGAGCTTCTGGAGGTTTTAGACTGGTCGGGCGCCAACGCGGAGGGTCTGAGCGACGGGGACACGGACGAGAGCGGCGACGGCGGCGGATCGGGCGCGCCGTGAGCGAGCGCCCGGTCGTCGCGTCTGTCTCGCGCGGTGTGTACGTTTTTGGGTCGGTGGGCGGTTGGGACGGTACCGTAGTACTGTAGTCGCGCGGTGCGAGGGGGGCTTAGCCCGGATCGAATGAATAGAGCGTCGTGCGCGCGCGCGCGGGGTCGAAGAGCGTTTGGTTTTCCGTTTGGTTCGCCGCCCGCCTCGAGAGACTCGACGTTCTTTTTGGACGCGATTTCGTGGCAACGACGAGACCGGCGACCCCTGGCGGCGGCGCGCGGGGACGCGCCACACCGTCATGCCCGCCCGTCGCGTCCTCGACCACGGCGCGCGCGAATACGTCGATCGCGTCGTCGACGCGTTCGGCGTGACGCGCGCGCCGCCTCCTCCTCCGCCGCCGCCCTACGCGGCGAGCGGCGGCGGCGACGCGAGCGCCAAACACGCGGCGAATATCGTCGGCGTGAGCGGCTACCTCCTCCTCGCCGTCGCCGCGCTCTTCGTCTGCGTGCACTGCTGCCGGTTCGGGACGTGCCGGGACGAGTCGGCCACGGAGGAGGGGCTCCTCCGCGCGGCGGCGGCTCGACGCGCGGCGCGGCGGCGGCGGCGGCGGCTCGCGCGCGGCGGGCCGCCGGAGCCTTACGCCGGCGCGGACGACCCGCGCGCGGCGTCCGCGGAGCTCGCCGCGCGGGGGGGGCGGCAGCAGCAGCAGCAGCAGCAGCGGCAGCCGAGGTCGTTGCTCGCGCGATGGCGCCGCGAGGCCGCGGAGAGCCAGGCGACGCGCGCGAGCCGCGCGCGCGGCGGCGACGGCAGATCGGGGAGGCCCCGACGCGGGCAGAGTGCGGGCGCGGGCGCGCTCCAGGGCGGCGGCGGCGACGGAGGCGACGGAGGCTCGACGACGGACGACGAGGAGTACGACCGCGCGGTTCTCGCCGCCGCGAGAGGTCCGACCGGCGACGAGCCTCGGCCCGCGACGCGAGGTATCATCGCGTCGCTGCCGCGGTGCTACGTCGGGGACGATAAGTGGCGCGCGAGGATGGGGATGGTTCCCGCGGCGGCGGCGGCGGCGGCGGCGGCGGCGGCGGCGGCGGCGGCGGGGGCGGGGTCGGGACCCGGGAAAGGCTTTGACTTCATCACGTCCGTCGCGCTCGCGGAAGCGTACGACGCGGAAAGAGACACGTGTTCGATTTGCTGCGAGGAGACCGAGCCCGGGGACGAGATCGTCGTCCTGACGTGCGCGCACGCGTTCCACGACGAGTGCATGACGCCGTGGCTTCGCGTGAAGCTCGAGTGTCCGGTGTGTCGGCACCTGGTGGAAAGGGTAAGTCGCAAGGACGCGCGCGCGGTGTTTTCGCCGCCGCCGACGTCGCGCGCGGGCGAGGGTGGAGGTCGCGAGGGCGACGCCGCGCACGTCGCGGTGGACGTCGAAGACGAGGAGAGGGCGAGAGAGTGATGAAGCGACGACGCGCGCGGAGGTTGAGAGAGAAAAGAATCTGAGAGGAGTGCACGCTTTTTAGTTCCAGTGACGCGTAGCAGCAGCGGACGCGGCACTCGAGCTTGATAAGGGGGTAAAAAAAGAACCCGCCCCGCCGGGCTTCGATCGTCACTCGGCTCGCGCGCGGCACGTTTCGCCCGTGAACCGAACGATTCGTCGTCCAGCGAGGGCGTCACGCCGCGTGACAGCGACCGCGAGCGACGCGAACCCTTCGCGCGCGCGTGAACCGCGCGAACGGGGTTGACCGCGGCTCGAAATCTCGCTCGCCCGCAACTCGCCTCGTCAACGACCTTTCTTAAGGAACGGAGCGACGATGAGCGAGACGACCGCGATGGACACGCGCGAGTACAAGATCGCGATCCCCGATAAGAACGCGGAGGAGGACAGCAGAGCGGACTCCCCCGAGCAATCCGGGGTGTGCACGCCGAAGAACGAGCACTCGAGCGGGTTCAAGCGCCTCCGGAGCTGGGAGCTCTCGTCCCTGGAGGGGGTGGAGCGAGCGGACTGGCAGGGCGCGGACGACGAAGCGCCGGGGACGTCCACCGCGTCCACGATCGCGAGCGACGCGGAGGTGAAGGACCTTCAGGACCGCACGGTCAACGCGTGCGTGCAGCTCGCGGAAATCATCGTCTCGCTGAGACGCGAGAGGTGCGTCTCGCCCCGCGGAGGCATTTAAATAAAGCCCCTTTCTTCTTCTGTTCGAACCGCGAACGGTCCGGCAGCGTTCAGATCTGCCCTCCTCGTCGCGTCCGTCGCGGCGTTTCACGACCCTTTCGCTGACGATTTCCCCCCGCGTTCGCCTCGCAGGGAATGGACGGACGAAAAGAGCGCAAAGACGAAGAAGAAGCACGAGCTCAGGCTCAGGCTGCGCGCGATCGAACGGTGCGACGATGCCCGAGTCTCTCGAGTGGCGACTCCCCAGATCAGACCGCGGAGGTCGGATCCGTCGACGCCCCGCTCCTCTCGATCGCCCGACTGACGACGCGTCCATCCCTCCTTCGATTCCCCAGGCGGATCACGATGCTCAAACCCACGGCGAAGCTCGAGTCGCTTCGTAAATACGTCGAATACGCGCTCGAGAAGGCGCAGCCCGCGGCGCAGCTCACCGGTGCGTTCGCCGACTGCCGAGCGAACGGAGACGCCGCGAGTCTTTTTTTTTTCCGCCGCCGCCCGCTCGCCTCCCCTTCCCGCGCGCATCGCATCATCACCACGACGCGCTGGCTGACGTCACCGACCCGACCCATCGGTCGTTCATCGCGCGCAGATCTCCTGGACGACGAGCTGCAGCTGATATTATCGAAAGTCAACGCGACGAACGGGTCGTCGCCCAAGCAACTGCTCGCGTTGTCCACGGTGTCGAAACGGTTCGCGAAGCTCGTGAGGCAGCCCGCGGTGTGGCGAGACCTGGACGTGTCTTCGCACGCGTCCTTCTTGACCGACCGGGTTTTAAACTCGATCGTTCGAGACGACGGCGCGTTTGGGATGCTGCGCTCCGTGTCGTTGGCCGGGTGCACGAGGGTCACCGAGACGGCGATCGTCAAGCTCCTGAACGCGTGCGGAAATTCCTTGGAGCGTCTAGACCTCTCCGGGTGCACGCTCGTGAAGACGTCCACGATCGAGCACGCGGCGCGGACGTGCACGAACCTGACGCTGCTGGACCTCACCGGGTGCGCGCACGTGGACACTCTCGACGCGTTGAAGATGACGGATACGTTTTGGCCAAAGTTGGAGGAGGTGCGTCTCGTGGGCACGTCGCGGCTCTCCGGGCGGGTGTGCCAGACCGAATTCGACGCGCTGGCGGACGAGATCGCGTCGCGATGGAATCGGTGGAGAGAAGCGAGAAGGGAGGGGCGAAGGCAGGCGCTGCTCGCCGCGGAGATGGAGGCGGACGCGCTGAAGGTGAAGCTGGCGACAGGGCGGGAGCCCGCTGGCCTCGCCGAGCTCTTGTCCGCCGAGGACGAGAGGAGGAGAGCCTTGGAGGACCTGGAATCCGACGACGCGGTGGCTTTGGAGGAGGAGCTGCACATAGACCACGCGGAGTGCGACTGCGGCCCCGCGGTGAGCCTCGAGGCGATGCCCGCTCTCGTGCGCAAGTGCCGCCGGTGGGTCGAGGCGTGGCAAGAAGGTCACCCGGTGAGCGCGTGCGATCACGCGCTCGTGATGCAGGGCGCGATGGGCGAACAAGCCGGGTTAGCGACCCTGAACCTGTTTCCAAACTGCGGTCACGTCATGTGCGAGGTTTGCGAGCAGAAGGAGCGCGTGAACATGCAGAGAAGGCCCGTGGAGGGCGGCGAGTTCGAGTACGTGTACCCGTGCCGGCTGTGCAATCAGGACATGCCGAACCCCGGGGGGTTCGAGATCACGCTCACGCAGTGATCGAGCATGCGTGTACTAAATCAAATCTTGGGGCGGGTAGGGAGGGAGCGACGCGTGAACGCGAAGAACGAACGAACGCGCGCGAGGGGCGAGGTCTGAGACCGCCCGCGCGAGAGAAGAAAAAGGTTTCAAGCTCCAACACCGTAGCACACCCCGCCTAGAGCGCTGTATTGAACACCTTGTATTTTGTCACTACGTGTACGATGAACGCGATGGCGAACGCGACGACGAACGTGTTTCTCGAAGACTCATCTTATTACAAGTAGGTCGTCTCCATCCATCTCGCGACTTGTTCTCTTCTATGCAAATTCAAGAGAGCCGCTGAATCCAAAAACTTTCTGAAACCTCCCAGTCGACGACACCGCGCGCGATAAGTACATCAAGAATTTACTTGGAGCACGCGTCCATCGCCTGCAGATCCTCGTACGCGGAGAGAAGGCGGTTGACGGTGTAGTTCTCCGCCTCGCGGAGCCACATGCGGGGGTCGTAGTACTTCTTGTTCGGCTTCTCCGGGCCGTCGGGGTTGCCGATCTGGCCCTGGAGGTACGGCTCCTTCTCCTTGACGTAGTCCTTGACGCCGTCCCAGAAGCTCCACTGCGTGTCGGTGTCGATGTTCATCTTGATGACACCGTAGCCGATCGCCTCGCGGATGTCCTCGCGGGAGGAACCGGAGCCGCCGTGGAAGACGAAGTACACCGGCTTCTCCTTGGTGCCCTCCTCCTTCTCGATGTACTTCTGCGCGTTGCCGAGGATCGGGGGGGTGAGCTTGACGTTACCGGGGGAGTACACGCCGTGGACGTTACCGAACGCCGCGGCGATGGAGTACATGCCCGGCGCGATCGGCTCGAGAGCCTTGTACACCTGGTGGATCTCCTCCGGCTTGGAGTAGAGGTCCTCCTGCGCGACGTCGGTGTTGTCGACGCCATCCTCCTCGCCGCCGGTGATGCCGATCTCAACCTCGAGGTGGCAGCCGATGGCAGCCATGCGCTTGAGGTACTTGGCGGAGATCTCCATGTTCTCCTCGATGGACTCCTCGGAGAGGTCGAGCATGTGAGAGGAGAAGAGCGGCTCGCCGTGCTTGGCGAAGTACTCCTCGTTCGCCTCGATGAGGAGGTCGAACCACGGAAGGAGAGCCTTGGAGCAGTGGTCCGTGTGGAGGATGATCGGGACGCCGTACGCCTCGGCCATCGCGCGGACGTGGAGCGCGCCCGCGATCGTGCCCATGGCCGCGACCTTCTGGTCCTTCTCGTTCTTGAGGCCCTTGCCGGCGTTGTAGATGCCGCCGCCGTTGGAGAACTGGACGATCATGGGGGAGTTGGCCTTCTTCGCCGCCTCCATGCACGCGTTGATGATCGGGGACATCGTGCAGTTGACCGCGGGGATCGCGTACTGGTGCTTCTTCGCGTGCTCGAGGACGGCCTGGTAGTCCGCGCCGGTCACGACGCCGGTCTTGAGGCCCTGCGAGGAGCGTTCCGGAGAGGAGAAGCGCGCGGTGAGCGAAGAGCGGAAAAAAAGGGATATTTTACAGTGCTCGCACGCGGTCTCCTCCGAGGGCTTCTTTCGGAGGAAAAAAGACGCGACGCGTCGCGGGTTCGGCGGCGCGATCTGACGCGAGGCGCATCGCGCGCGTCTTCGAAGGCGCCGAGACGCTGACGAAGACGCGCGAGCGAAGATCTCCGAGCTCGCGCGAGCGAAGATCCGTCGCGCGACGCGTCGCGACGGCGGCGAACCGCGCCGCTATCCTTCGCGGATAAGAGAAAGTCCGGAACCGCAAGATCGATCGAGAAATTGCCTCCTCGCGCGACGCGTTCGCGGCGCGCGCGCGCGGCGCTCTCCCTCGATTCGCGTCGCGGACGCGGCGCGATCGCGAGAAATCACGATCGCGCGCGCGTTTCGCGCGCGCGCGCGAGGAAACCCCCGAAGCGCGCGCGCGTCCGAGGAGGAAACGAGCGCGTACACGACGGTCGGGGGACGCACCGACTTCGTGGCGACGGCCGCGCGCGCGACGGTGTTCACGCGGGTGGCCTTGACCGCCTTCTTGGAGACGACGGCGTTGCCGCGGACGACGGTCTTCGCGGCGAGCGCGTGCTGGGTCATGGAGGCCATTTTGTTTGGGTGTGTGCGAACGGTGTGCGTGCGCGTGCGGTGATAGTGGGACCGCCCCAGCCGCAACGAGCGAAGGAAACGTGGGTCGCGCGAGCCGCCCGCCGAAGCGACGACGGATGACCTCTGATGGCGCTGAAAACGACGACGTGATTGGTCGAAAGTTGAACCGCGAAACGCGGTCTAATTTTACCCGATGTGAGGGAAATAGCGCGTGGCGTGTCGCAGCTATGGATTTTTCCGCGCGTTTCCGTCGACGTGTGACACGCACGGCGCGACGGTCGCGTCCTCTCGAGAGGCACACCCGAGGACGCGGAGCGACGGCGGCGTCTTCGGCGGCGTCGGGATGGCCTCGTCCTCGAGCGGCGGCGGCGGCGGCGGCGGCCACGCGTCGTTCGACCCGTACGCGGACCTCGGCCTGAAGCGAGGCGCGACGGACGAGGAGGTCAAGTCCGCGTTTCGAAGGCTCGCGCGCGCGTACCATCCGGACGCGGGCGGCGCCTCGACCGCGGAATCGCGCGCGGCGTTCAACCGGATAACGTCCGCGCGAAACCGGCTGCTGTACGCGGGACGCGGCGCCGGCGGCGCCGCGGGCCAAGGCGGGTTCGCGCGCGGCCACGGCGTCCAACACGCGCCGTATCGACCGCGCGTCTCCAACTGGCAGTTCGCCGCGGTGCTGACGCTGCCGCTGTGCCTCATGGGCGTCGTCTCGAGCTGGGCGTTCCCGAGCGACCACGCGCGCGCGCCGAACGCGGAGATCGGCCGCTTGAACGGGCTGATGAACCCCCCGGTGAACCCGTGGTTGCGAGAGGACGACGACGACGAGAGGGAGGAGAGGAGGCGGAGGAGGGCGCCGGTGTCGGAGCGCGTCTTGAGGCGGATGGCGCCGATGTTTCGACGGGGCGACGACCCGGACTGATCGATCGATTCGATCGATCGATAGATCGATCGATCGCGACGTGTTCACTCGTTCGCGGTACGGGAGGGGACGGGACGGGACGGGACGGGACGGGACGGGAGCGCGAACAAAAACCGCGTAGCGTCACAAAAACGTAGGCTTAGCCATTCATCATAGCGGAGGCGTCGTCATCCATCTTATTCCGATCGCGGGAGCGTTCGACGCGTCGCGTCGTCGATCGCTTTTCTCTCCTCCTCCTCCTCCTCCTCCTCTTCCTCCTCCTCCTCCTGCTCCTCTCAAGATGAGATCACGTCGCCCTCACGCGGGAAGCTGCCCCGAGTCCGTGATCGTGACCTCTTTCGACGGCGTCCCGCTGCTGCTGCCCACCGCCTCGATCTTGTACACGACGTCCATGCCCTCGAGGACCTTCCCGAACACGACGTGCCGGCCGTCGAGCCACGACGTCTTGATCGTGCAGATGAAAAACTGGCTCCCGTTCGTGTTAGGGCCGCTGTTCGCCATGGAGAGATCCCCGGGGCCGGCGTGTTGGAGGCTGAAGTTTTCATCCGCGAATTTGGCGCCGTAGATGGACTCGCCGCCGCGTCCGTTGCCGTCGGTGAAGTCGCCGCCTTGGATCTCGACGTAGGGTCGTTCGAGCGAAAATAAAACGAGGTCAATCAATCATCGCTCGCCACCACTCGTCGGGTCAGGGATATTCAGGGATGTGAAAGTCAAGTCGGACGCGACCGCACCATGAAGTTCGGGATGACGCGGTGGAAGGTGCTGCCTTTGTAATGCAAAGGCTTGCCTCGCTTCCCAGTGCCCTTCTCCCCGGTCGCGAGCGCGCGGAAGTTCTCCGCGGTCTTCGGGACGACGTCGCCGTACAGGCCCATCGTGATGCGACCCGCGGGGATGCCGCCGATGCTGACGTCGAAGAAGACCTGCGGGGAGAGGGGACGACGCGCGAGCGATGTCGGACGACGACGGACGATCGATCAGTCGTTCGTTCGTTCTGTTCGTCGGCGAGATCGGGGGGTGTTAACCGAGCGACGAGGGGACGGACGCGCGCGCACCTTGTCCGTGACCTTCGGGGAGGCGTCGGACGCGGTCGCGCCGCTCGCGAAGAGCATGACGACCGCGACGAGGATCGCGTGCTTGCGGAGGACCGCGAACATGTTCGCGTCGGAGGTTCCCGGCGTGAGGGCGCGCGCGGGATCGAATGAATGATCGGAGGCGACGTTTCGAAGGTTCTGTTTTTTCCAGGTTTTTTCCGGGACACTGACAGAACCGAGAGAACAGTACACGATGCGCGGCCTCCTCGTCAACCTCGCGCTTCTCTTCGCGGCGCTTCTCGTCGCGACGTCCCCCGCGGTCGCCGCGGACCCCGCGAGCGGCGCGCGCGTCGACGCGAGCAACTTCGACGCGATCGTCGCCGCCTCCGACGCCGCGTTCGTCGTGAAGGTTCACTCCCCGAGATGCGGCACCTGCCAGGAGATGCGACCGACGTGGGACGCGCTCGTCGCCGCGCGCTCGAACGACGTCAAGTTCGCGACCGTGGACATCGACGACGATCGCGGGATGAAGCTCGCGGTGGAGCTCGGGGTGTTAGACGACGGCGTTCCCGCGGTCTGGGGGTTCGATCGCGCGGCGGAGGGAGAACGATCGACGCCGAGGAAACTATGGTCTGGGTACGACGCGCCGTCGGCGCGCGAGCTCGCCGCGGCGACCTTCGAGGGCGGCGGCGTGGATTTGAACGGCGCGAGGAACGCGGACGGGTTCGTCGCGAAGGCGTGACGATCGATGAAATGAACGACGCCTTCCCGTCGTTTAGCCGTCGCCGCTAGGCCCTACTTCTACCTAGTGAAGTGAATGAACGACTACGCTCGCGACGAAAGGATCGACGCGCTCCCGTCGCGAGCTCGTCGCGACGGCACCGTTATGTCGTACGTCGACAGCTTCACCGCCATCGTCTCCCCGACGAGGTTCACGCACTCGACGATCCGCTCGTCCACGCGCTCGATCGACGCCCCCGTGATGAGAGCCTCCCCCGCGTACCCCGGTATCGACCCCGGGTCCTCCATGCACCTCACGAACCGCGCGTGATTCTCCGGAAACCGCCCGGGCGGATCCGCGAGCACGAACCTCCCCGCCCTCCCCCCGCGGCTGCTGAACAGCCGCAACACCAGCGTCGCGATCGCGTCGACCGCGTCCGCGGTGTACAGCACGTCCGACGCGAGGACGACGTCGAACCCCGTCGGCGCGAGCTCCGGCTCGAACCAGTCCACGATCTCGGCGTCGACGACGCATCGCGACGCCGCGGGAGACGCCGGCTCGAGCGCCTTCGGCGTCGGCCCGAGCGCGACGCCGTCGGGCGCGCCGCACGACGCCGGCAGCGTCTCCGCGGCGCCTCTCAGCCCGTTCGCGCGCGCCGCCGCGAGCGAGCACCACAGCGCGCGCGGCTCGCGGTCCGTCATCAACACGCGCGACGCGCCCGCGAGCGCGGCGGCGACGCCGGCGAGCCCGAGCCCCGCGCCGAGGTTGATCACGGAGCGCCCGCGCACGTCGATGGTCGATCCCGCGTCTCCTCCTCCTCCTCCTCCTCCTCCTCCTCCCTCGAGCATCGCGGTCGCGAGCGCGACGTCGCCGTGCCACACGTCCGCCCAGTGCGGGTCCTCGTCCGGGCGTCCCATCGCGCTGTACACGTCCACGACGTCGGACTCGGACGTCGGCATGACGACCGTCACGTCCGTCTCGCCGCAGCGCGCGACCGCGGTGCCGATCGCCATCGGAAGGTGCGCGCTCAGCGGGTGCGGCATGTCGAGATCGAGGGGGACGTAGGACGGGACGACGTCCTCGCGGCGGCATCGCGTCGCGAGGGCATCGCGGCGGGGGGTCGGGCGGGGGTATTGAAGGGGATGCCGCGGCGGCGCGTGGACGCGGCTCGCGCGGACGGCGCGGGCCATTATCCGGTCTCGGACGAGTCCCTGGAGCTTCTTTTCCGCGGGCAATTTCGCACCGAGACCGCATCAGGGCGAATCGCCTCGTCGAGACGCCGCGCGGACGGGGCGTCACACGACGAGCGCGCGCGAGCGCCGCGGACGTCGCACGCCGGTCTCGTCGCCGACGCACGACGGACATGTCTTCGGGTGCGCCTCGATCGCGAACCCGCGCGTCGTCGCGTCGTCGCCGCGCCAGATCCTCCGGTCCCCGACGCGAATGAATCCCCCCACCCGCTCCTCCTCCTCTTCTCCCATCGCCGCGCCGACCTCACGTCTCCCTCCTTCCCCTCGCCGCTCGCTCGCTCGCTCCTCTCCCTCCGCGCAGCCCCGCCGCCGAAACCGTGGGAGCGCGCCGCGGCGACGGGCGAGAGCGTCCACGCGGCCACGCCCGCCGCGCCAGGCGACGCGCCCAAGCCGTGGGAGGTCCCGGGCGCGGGCGCGACGCCGTCCGCGCCCGTCGCGACGGAGTCGAACCCCTCGGGCGCGACGCCGACGCCGCCGCCGCGCGAGAACCGCGCGGCGGCGAACGCGGTGAACGCGGGTGCCACGACGTCCTACGCGACTACTGGGGGGTACAACCGCCCGTACGGAGGGTACGGGTCCGCGATGGGCGGGTACGGTGGGTACGGAGGAGGCTCTTCGATGTACGGAGGAGGCTACGGCTCTTCGATGTACGGAGGAGGCTACGGGTCGTCGATGTACGGAGGAGGCTACGGAGGCTACGGGTCGTCGATGTACGGCAACAGGTACGGCATGGGCGGGATGTACGGCGGCGGGATGTACGGCGGAATGGGAATGGGCCCCGGGATGGGACCGATGGGTCCCGGGATGGGAGGACCGATGGGCGCCGCCGACGATCCGAACGGCCCCGCGCCGACGGCGTGGCAACGCATCATGCGCGCGCTGCACGGGATCGTCACCGTGTTCGGGCGGATATCGTGGCTCGTGGACGAGAACTCGCAGGCGCTGCACTTCTTCATGATGGGCCTGATGCAGCTCCTGGACCGCGCCGGGGTGCTGTACGGCGAGCTCGCGAGGTTCGCGCTGCGGCTGTTGGGATACAAGGTGCCGGACCGGCCGAAGGCGCCGCCGGAGGGAGGCGGAGCGCCGGGGACGGGGATGGGGATGGGGCCGGGTGGGTACGGGATGGGAGGGGTGTACGGCGGCGGGATGAACTCGGGGTACGGGTACGGAGCGAGCCCCGGGTACGGCGGCGGCGGGTTCGAGAGCGCGTGGGGGGGAGCCTGACGAGTTCTAAGTACTCTTCGTTCCCTAAAAGTTTTTCTACTCCTCCCGTGCCTCGTTCACGGCGGAAGCCCTCGGAACCACGCCGTCGCCGCCACCTCCGCGACGTCTCGCGCGCACGCGTCCTCCGCATCGCGCGTCTTCGCGCACGTCTCCGTCACGACCATGTCCTCCCCGGTCATCGTCGCGGAGAGAAACCCTCGGCCCGTCTCCACGCGGACGCCGTGCCCGGACAGCCCGCCGTCGCTCGCGGAATACGTCCACTCGCGCTCCGGGGCCCCCTCCTCCCTCGGCGGATACAGCTTGCGCATGCACGAGTGCACGAGAAGTGGCTCGCCGTCCAGGTCGCGGTGCGCGATCGCCGTCCCGCCGCCGTCCTTCGCGCGTCCGAGAAGCGCGGGGAAGAACGGGCACGCGTCGCGCGTCGACCCCGTCATCCGCCACGCCGACTTCCAGAGGTCTTTGTCGCCGTAGAGGTGCGCGCTGAGGTCCTTCGCGAGGTCGCCGGTGCAGAGCGCGACGCACGTCACCAACGCCGCGGCGGATCGCGTGCGGTCGACGACGAGGACGCCGCTGTCCGTCTCCCACTCGTGTTCTCTTCGTCTCGTCGTCGGCGGCGGCTCGGGCTCGGGCTCGGGCTCGGGCTCGGGCTCGGGCTCGGGCTCGTCGCATTCGCCGCCGCCGCCGCCGCGGACGCCGCGGCTCGCTTCCCTCGCGGCTGTCGCCAACGCGTCCAACGCGTCGCCGTCGCACAGCGGCCCCTCGCCGACGCGGTGGAGGTCCGGCCAGAACACCGCGCTCGGGGTCCCCGCGCCGCGCACCGCGTCCAGCAACCGCGTCGGGTCGCGCAGCAGGACGACGTCCGCGTCGAGGAGGAGCACGCGCGCGAACGACGACCCAGTCACCGCGAGGGGCTTGATCGCGAACCCGATCGTCGGACGGCGCGTCGCGGCGGCGGACGACGGCGCCCCCGCCGCGTCCACGCACACGTCTCCGTCCGACACCAAACTCGCGACGTTCCGACACCGAAGCGGCGCGACCGACGCGTCCGACTCCAACGCCGCGATCGCGTCCGCGGTGAGCTCCCCCGGCGCGTGCCACAACTCGATCGCGAGGACGCAGCCGACGCGTCGAATCGATCGCGCCGCGGCGACGGCGAGCGCGATCAACGCGCGACCGCCCGCGCACAAGACGATCCCGTCGCCGTCGGCGACGAACCCGGCGCGACGCGACGGGAGCGGGGACGTGTCCGGGTGGAACAGCGCGCGCACGCGCGACGTCGCGGACGCGAGCGCGTCGGCGTCGGCGTCGGCGCCGCCGCGCGTCGCGCGCGGGAGCGCCCAGCCGCCGCGACGATGCGCTCGCCGCCACCTCTTCTTCCCTCGATCGTCCTCCGCGAGAAGCTCGGGGACGCGCGTCTGGCCGCTCGGGTCGTTCGCGCTGCCGTCGCCCCACCCGTCCGGGACGGTGAGCAGCGCGCCGCCGCGCGGTTTCGCGCCGCCGCCGCCGTCGCCGCCGCCGTCGCCGCCGCCGTCGCCGCCGTCGTCGTCCGACGTCACCGTGAGGTGCCGACCGCGCGTCGCCGCGGCGACCTCGCCGACGAAAAAGTCGATCGGGAGAGTCACCGGGTACCGCCGCGCGAGCGCCGCCCTGGCGAACCGCCTGGACATGACGTACGCGCACGTCCCGGCGACGTACGGCGTGGGTTCGATCGCGAGCGCGAGGCCGCGAGGCAGCGGCGGCGACGGCGCCAGCGGCGTTCGTCTCGCGCGCCGCCCGAGGACGTCTTGGTTGTGCAGCAACAGGACGTCGTAACCGTCGCCGTCGGAGCGTTTCTGCGTCGCCGCGGCGTGCAGCGCGTTCAGCGCGTTGACGAACCCCGCGCGCAGCTCGACGTCGTCTTCGAGGATCAGCGCGTACGGCGCGCCGCCGCCGCCGCCGTCGTCGTCGCGGTCGAGGAACGTCCTCCACGCGCGATGGTGCGACCGCGCGATCGCGACTTCCGTGGGGGTGACCTCCGCCCACGACGTCAGCTCGCCGTTGTCGCGCTGCCGCCGCAGCTCGGTCGCGTCGAGGTCGTTCGCGTCGACGCCTTCGATGAGCTCGTACGCGGTCACGTTCGCGGTCGACGCCGCGGCCTGGGGAAGAGGCGAAGGAGGCGCGATGGGACGGAGGTTGAGTTTCGAGCCGGGTGCCGAGAGAGCGCAGTTGACATCGCGTCGATCGATCCCACGCCGCGCGCGCGGCCGGGGACGCACCTGGAACCGCGCGAGCCGTCCCGCGAGGCGAGGGAGGTGGACGACGAAGCACTCGCACGCGAACGCGAGGTCGGGGACGACCATCACGACGGGCGTGTCATCGTCGCGGTGACTGTGAGACTCTTTCGGCGGCTCCGAGGATTTTTGGGGACTTCTTTTCGAGGGGAGAAGCCAGCACGAGTCCTTCACTCGCCGCGCGCCGCGACCATGCGTACGCGCTCGAGCACCGGCTTCAACACTATCCCCGAGAACGTCGCGGCCGTCGTCTTCTCGCACCTCGGGAAGGACCCGAAGGATCGCATCCGCCTCGCCGCGGTGAGCAAGGTGTGGAGGAGCGCGGAGAAGTCGGACGCGTCGTTGCCTGGAACTCCGAGGGCGTTGTGCGAGTTCGGTAAGGAGTTTAACTCAGCTGTCGACGCGTCTGAGCACTGGAAGGCGTTCTACTGGTTCGAGAAGTCGGCCGATCACGGCGACCCTGAGGGCATGTTCTGGTTCGGCAAGTGGTACTTATACGGAGGCTGCACGGGGGGCTCCGTCACGGAAGAAAACTACACGAAGGCGGTGCACTGGTTCAAAAGGGCGTCCGAGCTGGGGCACGCCGAAGCGACCAGAATGGTCGCTTTGTGCTACGAGGACGGCCACGGCGTGGAGCGAGACTTCGCGAAGGCGATCGAGTGGAACGTGAAAGCGGCGGAGTTGGGTTGGGGATTTTCCGCGTGGTGGCTCGGGAGCGCCCACCTCTACGGCCAGCACGGCTTGACGGAGAACAACAACGAGGCGCTGAAGTGGTATCGACTCGCCGTGGAGCTCGGCGACGCGGACACTCGCCAACATTGGTGGGAAATGTCGCGAATGTGGGTAAACGATCTCGAGGCCGAGCTCGCGGCGGCGTGAGCGAGCGAAAGAACGAACGAACGCGTGAACATGCAATCGACGACGAACGCGACGCAGACGTCACCCGCCTCTCTCCGCCCCGCGCGCGTTTCCTTCCACCAACGCTGTACACGTAGTACGAGATTATCCTATGCGTATTTAGTCACGCGCGTGTTCGGAAAACTACCGCCGCTCCTGTCCGCGCGCGTGATTGGCTGCGACGTCGAGAAATGCGTCACCGCAATCGCGACGCGACTTCCGCGTCGCACTGCGCGACGCGCCGGCCAGCCATGGCGCTCTTCAGATTCGGGCACGTGCTCGTGCTCCTCCTCGCGATCCTCGCGCCGGGACTCGCGAGCGCGGGGAAGGACTACTACCGCATCCTCGGCGTGGACCGAGGCGCGGACGACCGGACGCTGAAGAAGGCGTACCGAAATCTCGCGCTGTGCGTCTCTCTCGAGTGCCCTCTCTTCTCTCTCTCGCGCGTCGACCGATCGTTCCCTTCCTCCGTCCGTCCGTCGATCGATCGACCCGCTCCCCTCGCCGCCGCGCCGCCGCGACCGCGTTCCTCGCGCGCTCACGCTCGTCTCCTCCCCTCCCGTCCGTCCCCCACCCCTCCCCGTCGCCTCGCAGGAAGCATCACCCCGACAAGGGCGGATCGCAGGAAAAGTTCGCGGAGATCTCGCAGGCATACGACGTCCTCTCGGACTCGCAGAAACGCGAGATCTACGACGCGTACGGCGAGGAAGGCGTCCAGCAGCACGAGGCCGCCGGCGGCGGCGGCGGCGGCCCCGGCGGCGGCTTCCCCGGCGGCTTCCCCGGCGGCTTCCCCGGCGGCGGCGGCGCGCAGTACACGTTCACGTTCGGAGGTCCCGGCGGCGGCGGCGGCGGCGGCGGCGGCGGGCGGGACCCGTTCGACATCTTCAACGCGTTCTTCGGCAGCGACGACGGCGGCGGCGGCATGGGCGGCATGGGCGGCGGCGGGTTCCCCGGCATGGGCGGCATGGGCGGCGGGTTCCCTGGCATGGGAGGCGGCGGCGGCCGCGCGCGCGGCGGCGGGCGAGGGCAACAGCAGCAGGAGCGTCCGAAGGAGAACCTCTACGCCAAGGACTCCGCGGTGACTAACCTGAGACAGGGGAAGTTCCCCGGGACGGACGCGAAGCACGTGTGGCTCGTGGAGTTCTACGCGCCGTGGTGCGGGCACTGCCGGCAGATGAAACCGATCTGGGAGCGCCTCGCGAGCGAGCTGAGGGGGTTCGTCAAGGTGGGCGCGGTGAACTGCGAGACGCAAAAGAGCGTCTGCGGGATGGAAGGCGTCGAGTCGTACCCGACGATCAAGATGAAGAAGGGCGGCGTGAGCACGCCGTACGACGGCGAGCGCGATCTATCAGCGATGAAGACGTGGGCGCTCGAGAAGCTGCCGGTGAACGTCGTGAACTTGCGGCGGCCGGAGTCGTTGACGTCGTTTTTGGAGAAGGACTGCGCCGACGCGAAAAAAGCCGCGGCGGACGGCGTCTGCCTCGTCTTCTTCAGCGCGGACACGGAGACCCCGGCGTGGCTGAAAGTCCTCGCGCACGCCAAGAAAGGCAAAGTCCCGGTCGCGGAGGCGCGCGCGCGGAACGAAGCGCTCGGGCTCCCCCTGGACGTGAGCGTCTTTCCGACGTTGATCGCGGCGTGCGGCGGCGACGTCGATCGAACGATAACCTACGACGGCGAGATCACGCAGGACATGACGCCGAGCGCGGTGACGGAGTGGGCGTCGTCGTTCGAGGGCGGGAAGAAGTGTAAGGACGCGCCGAAGAATCCGAAGACCGGGATGACGTTAGACGCGTCGATCGATTACTCGAAGATGCGCGTGAGCAAGCTGCGGGCGATTCTCACCGCGCACGGGATTCCGTGTTCGCTCTGCGCGGAGAAGGGCGACTTCGTGAAGGCCATCGCGGAGGCGGCCGCGGCGGGGGGCGGGCGGGCGAAGCAGGAGCTGTGAAGTGATATCGTCGTACAGTATCGATTGAATGATTTTTTTAACACCGCAGTGGTCTACTACTCTTTCGAGCGCCGAGCACGGATGAACGTCCCGTCCGATCAGACGCGCCGTCGCCGAATGCGAATCGTCCGACCGTCGGAGCCTCGCTCGGGAGGGTCTCCTTTCGGCGGTCGGAGTCACGTGGCATCGCGCCGCCGGCACGCGCGTCGTTCTCGTTCTCGCGCTCGCGCTCGATCTATGTCTACGTCACGTCGCGGGGAGGGATTACAGCTCGGTCGCGTCGTGCTTCTTCGACGGCTTCTTCTTCGAACCCTTCGTCTTCTTCGAACCCTTCTTCTTCCCTCCGTCTTCGCTTCCGCTTCCGCCCACCTCCCCCGCGTCGTCCGCGGCGACGTCGTCCTTCGGCTTCAGCTTCGTCCTCAAGAAGTCCGCGATGTCCGCCGCTTTCCAGTGCGCGCGGCCGTTCAGCTTCACGCTCTCCGCGCCCACCTCGTCGAAGTCCGCGTTCTCCGCTCGGAACTTTATGATCGGCATCGCGCCCTGCTTGTACACGAGCTTCACCTTGTGCCGCTTCTTCACCTCCTCGTGGTGGTCGTCGATGTACGCCTGGACCTCGGGGAAGTTCTTGAGCTGTCATCGGCACACCTCGAGCCTCGCGGCGAGGTACGTGCCGTCTTTGCGGCGCTCCGGCGCGCAGCATCGGAGGCACTCGCGATGGAGCGCGTCGGCGCTCGCGCGGTCGTCCGCCTCGGCGGTGTGCTTCGCGAGCACGTCGCACTCGCCGCACGGGGCGAGCCCGCTGAAGCCGAGATCGAGGCAGGTGGGGGAGGACGCCTCTTCCGCGCGCGCGGCGGTCGCAGTCGCGGCGATGGACGCGAGGAGGAGGACGACCGCGCGCACGCCGCGCGCGCTCGTCTCGCCCATGGCGCGCGACGGAGTGACGAACGATCGACGAGAATTTCTCAAGTAACCTTAAGCTGCAGGTAAAAAATGTAATTAAGTTCGGCGACGGCGTCGCCAGACCTCATCGGTCTTCTCCTCTCTACGCCAACCACCCCTCCCTACGAGCGCACGAACACGCGGAAGCTGTTCGGCGCGAGCTCGACGTGAAGCTCCCCGCCGGCGACGCCGATCCCCGCCCCCCCGTTCAGCGGCTCGACGAACCCGCACCCGTCCCCGCACGACTGCACCTTTTGCGAGATCGGCAGCGTCATCCTCTCCGGGACGCCCGAGCAGTTGAAGCACACGACCGCGACGTCGGAGCCGTCGGAGGAGACGCGCGCGAACGCCATCGTCGTGTTCGTGTGCGCGAGCGGGATCTGTTGCCCCGCGCCGTCCGCCAGCGCGGTGTGCGAGCGACGCAGACGCACGAGCTCGGCGGTTTGCTTAGCCGTGCCCAACCCGTCGCCGTCCGCGAGCGCGCGGGATAAGTTGATCGGCATGCGCATCGCGAGGTCGCCGTTCGGTCCTCCGGGAGCACCGCGCTCGCCGACCTCGTCGCCGTAGTACAAGCACGGGACGCCGCGGCCTAGGATGAGCGACGCCGCCGCGAGGGAGTAGTGCGCCTCGGGGTTGGCGAGCCGCGAGTGGATGCGCATCTGAGGGTCGTTCCATACAAAGCGATGGCGGGGTGGTGTTCATAGGCGTCAAGTGGAGTTGAAAGGCGTCGAGGTCGGGGATTGAACGCAAGGGGTGGGCGGGGAGACACGCCGGGAAAAGTCCTTAAGGATCGGCGTTCACCACGCCAACGCGGTCGTATGGGAACCAGTGTATAGAACGCGCCTGGTCGTGGTTCCCGAGAAAGTTGAGCAGCGTGAGGTTCCCGTACATCGACGCGTCGCGCTCGTACGAGTGCGCGAGCTCCCAGTAGTTGGCGTCGTTCAGCGCGGACCACAGCGCCTTCGAGAGCTGGTAGTTGGTGCCGCTGTGTAACACCCCGGGCGCGACGTGCGCGTTGTAGTCTCCGTGCATGAGCTCTCCGAGGAGGACGCAATCGGGCTTCACGCCGAGGCACGCGCGCGCGAAGTCTCTCCAGAACTCCGGCGGCACCTCGTGCGCGACGTCCAGGCGCCAACCGTCGATGTTCACGCCGCGCTCGGACAGCCAGAACTTCCCGGCTTCGAACAGGTGCTCTCGCACTCCCGGGTTGGAGTGATTCAACCGCGGCAGCCCCGCGTGCCCTTCCCAGCCCTCGAGCTCGATCCCGTTCGGTCCCTCCCTCGCGTAGTACCAGTCCCAGTACTGCGACGCGCGGCCGTTGCGATAGACATCCTGCGCCGCGAAGTGATCGCGTCCGGTGTGGTTGAACACGCCGTCGAGGATCACGCGGATGCCCAGAAAGTGCGCGGCGTCGACGACGCGTCGCAGCGTCGCGACGGACCCGAGCCTAGGGTCCACGTCGAAGTAATCCGCGGTGTCGTACCCGTGCCCGAGCTCGTTCGACGTCTTCATCAGCGGGCCGAGGTACAGCACCGTGCACCCGAGCCTCGCGACGTGCTCGAGCCACCCGTCGTCGATGAGCCTCTCGAGGCGATCGCCCGGCGCGAAGTTCGATGGCGGGCCCTCGCAGTCGCAAAACCCGAGCGTCTGGATCGCGTACACGACGGCGTTGGAGTACCACGCGGGCGGGCCGTCGCCGTTGCTGTGCGAGCGGTCCATCGTGTTCGCGAGGTGCCTCGGCGCCTCTCGCGCGGACGACGGCTCCCACTTCCTCGGCTGCCGCTGTTGCGGCTGCGACTGGTGGTGTTGCGGGCGCTGTTGATTGTGTTGTTGATGTTGTTGACGCTGCTGCTGCTGCTGCTGCTGCTGAGGCGCGGGCGGTCGTACGACGGTCGGCGGCTCCACGAACGACACCCCCGCGTCCCTCACCGCGAGCGCCATGAGCGACGACGCGTCGCCCGTGGACGGCAACACGAGCTTCCGGTTCTCGCCGTTCTCCCATCGCGTGCCGTCGTGCCACTTGTACTCGAGGCTTCGCGCGGCGGCGGCCTCGATGGTGATCACGTCGCCGTGCTTGACGCCGCCGTCGACGTTCCAGGCGCCGAGCGCGGGGTGCTGCCCGACGACGCGCGCGTTGGGGTTGCCGCCCTCGAGCTCGAACGTGAGGCGCACGACGTTGTTCGCGACGGCCGCGCGAGGGAGGACGGAGCGCGCGCGCGAGAGAGATCGAGATCGTCCCGCGAGACGTTGCCGCGACGGCATCTTGATTTTTTTGCCGCGAGCCGCGCGCGAGGAGAGCGGCGACGCGCGCGCGAGGAGCGCGGCGTCGCCGAGCACCGCGGAGGCGCTCATGGCGGCGTGTGGAGCGGAACGCGTCCGGCGGCGAGGCTGCGGCGCGTCGGCGTGAGACCGTGCGCGGCGAGTGCTGATATGAGGCACCCGTCGAACGATCGTGCGTCTCGAAGCGTCGTCTTCTTTGGATTGCAAAAAGCGGCTCGGGTTTCCGCACGCGGTGGAATTTATGCCAACTGTCACGTATGGGCAATCAGTCTCAGTTTTTTGAAGATCCTCACGAACCGTTTTTTCCGGTCTCCGGCGCTGTCCGGTTTGAACTCTCATCGGCCGGTCGGCGACCGGCGCGTCGCGGTCGCGGTCGAGACGAAATCTCATCGTTCGCGGGGCGCGCGTCACACGCGCGGGCGCCGCCTCGCCGCCCCGTCCCGCCGCCGCGCACCGAGCACCGAGCTCGCGCGCACGGGCGCGATGGCGACCGCGGCGCCGCCTCCCGCGGCGGCCGAACCCGCGGACGAGTTCGACGCCGTGGACGTCGAGGAGGGGCTGAGCAAGCCGCCCCCGCCTCCGACGCTGGAGCCCGAGGAGGCGGAGCACGTGCGAGGCGTCGTCGGGCGGTTGTTCGAGAAGCTGCGGCTGATGAGCTTGCTGAAGGTCGATCCGGGGATGCAGGCGAGTGTTTCGTGGGATCGCGTCGCGGCCGTCGTCGCGTGGTCGTCGTCGTCGTCGTCGCGGGCGAATCGCGAAATGCCGAATTTAGACGCGGATCGATCGTGGAAACCATCCATTCATCCATCATCTCTGACCGCCCGTCCCCCCCTCTCCCTCCCGTACACGCGCTTCGCACAGGCCGCGGAGATGTCCCGCGGCGTCGGCCTCGAGATATCCAGGGTCATGGAGAAGCAGCTCGCGCTCGAGACGCGATTCGAGGAGCTCATCAAGGAGCAGCCCGAGCTGAAGGCGCGGAACCACAAGGCGCCGTTTCTCGCGAATCAAAAAGAGCTCCACGACGTGACGTTCGAGCTCAGGGACACCACGGAGGAGCTGTGCAAGCGCCTGAAAGAAAACCCGGACGTCATGGATAACATCGCGTTCGCGGAGCGCGAGCGCGCGAAGCTCCAGGGGATCATCGCGAACCTTTTAGTCGACTTGCAGACGGGAACGTTTTGCAGCATGACGAAGTGGATCGAAGACGAAAAGAAACGCGAGCGCGAAATCAAGGAGACGTACGAGCGCGTCGCCGCGAAGGAGGCCGCGGTCGCGGAGCTGCGACAGAGGATAATAGACGAGCGCGAGCAGCACGCGGAGGCGATGAAGCAGAGAGAGGCGACGATCGGCGAGACGAAGGAGAAGCTCAAGACGGCCAAGGCGGAGATCGGCGTCGACCTGCGGTACAGGATGCGCGACATCGAGGGCGAGGCCTCGATGCGGGACAAGGTGAACGATCAGGCGCTGGACGACCTGAGAGCGGAGATCGAGAAGGTCAAGAAGCAGATCGCGCAGGAGAAACAGGCGCACAAGACGACGATGCATCACTTGCGGAAACGCGTGGAAAAGTCAAACGAGACGCTGGCGCATTGGCAAGAGAAGCACAAGAGGGACAGCGAGAAGATGGAGACGGAGATTTTGAAGGTGAAGCACAAGCACGAGGAGACGCTCGCGAAGATCAAAGAGATCGAGCCCGCGTATCTGAAGAAGAAAGCCGAGGACGACGAGAAGGAACGGCAGAGAGTGATTTGGGAGTCCACGGTGAAGGAGAGAGAGAAGAAGGCCATCACGCACGCGCGCGCGCGGGGGAACTGGCAGCTCGGTCTCGACGCGATCGCCGCGTTCAAGGCGGAGGGGAAGCCGCTCCCGGGGGCGAAGAAGGATAAGAAGGGAGGGAAGGGGAAGGGGGACAAGAAGGGAGGGAAGAAGGGAAAGAAGAAGTAGTCGTCCGCCAACAGCCCTGAATACCGATAGACCCGAAAGACCCGTCATCAAAACCTTGGACGTGCCTCTGGCTTTTTTCTCGGGGCAGGACAGGACCGACGTGGCCCGCTCTCGCGTCGCGGCGTCGGGATAACGCGTCGCGCGACCGCACGCGCGCGACCTATCGCTCCCATGTTCCCCCCCATCGTCCTCCTCCTGCTCCTCGCCGGCGTCGCCGCGGCGGAGGAACTCCCCCCCTCGCTCCCCCCCGCGCGGCTTCTCCGCAGCGTCGCGAACGCCACGACGGGCCTGCGCACGGACACGTTCGTGAAACCTCTCGGACGGCTCGAGCCCGAGGAGGTGATCAACACCCGCCCGTGGGGTCCCGCGGGCTCCTTGTTGCGGCCGGACACCCCCGAGAACGCGTCCATCCTGATCGTCGCCATCGAGTTCGACCTCGTCAGCGGGGAGACGCGCGAGAGCCTGCCGCTGGACACGCTCTGTGAGTCTTGAATATTCAGTTCGACTCGTCCCCGCTCTTCCCCTCGGACTCCTCGCTGTGCTCCACGCTGAGCTCCCCGTCCGCGCCTCGCCTTCGAATTCGCAGACAACCATCACCTGGTCATTCACACCAAAACGTCCAAAGGCGGCGCGTGGAAGCGCCCCTCCTCCTCTTCCTCCTCCGACGACGACGACGCGTCCTCGTCGCCCGCCGGTTCCGTGCTGTTCCGCGCCATAAGCGGCGTCTCGTACGGCCTCGAAGGCAAGCGCGCGCTGTTCTCGCGCGGGCAGAGCGCGCCGCTGACGCCGTGCGATACCGGGCTCGGCCTCGGCGGCGGCGGCGCGGAGTGGCGCGGCCGCCAACGCCGCGACCGCGCTTTGGAAACCGCCACGGGCGACGCGTTTTTACGAGGCGGCGGGAAAATGTGGATCGAGCCGCCGAACACGCGTTGGGGCGCGAACGTTCACGTCATCGACCTGCGCTCCGTCGCGAGCGTCAGAGACGCGGTGCAGTGTAACTGCGAAGCGTACGCGAAGCGCGGGAACGACGGCGTGCCGCTCGTCCCGGTCGATTTAGACGGCCGCCCGTCGATCCTGATGAAGGGAAGAGAGGGCGGCGGCGTCCAGTGCTGCGGCGACCGCGCGCTCGGTCCGCTTCTTCCCGGCGCGGACCCTCGCGGCCCGAAACGCGCGGTCTCGCTGCTGTACAACGTGACGTACCTCGTCATGCCGACGGACGGCTCCGTCCCGGACGCGGTTCCCGAGCGGCACCGCGAGCTCGTGAAGCGCGTCCCGCTCGAGGCGACGCTGATGGTCAGCTCCGCGGCGGACGTGGACGGCGCGGCGTGCTTTGGAGAGTTCAACGCGCGTCCGTGCGGCGGCGTCGACGGCGACGGGTCGCCGGAGGCGATCGCGGCGGAGCGCGCGGCGTGGGACGCGCGCGCGGCGCGGCGCGGCGACAACGCGCCGGAGCCGCGGAACCAGACCTGCGACGTCGTCGTCGACGCGGAGACGGGCGAGGAGACGCGCGTCTCCGTCGCGTGGTCGCACCCGTTCACGCTGCCGGCGGGGACGGCGTACGACGTCTACAGCGCGGTCGGGCATCAGCACGTCGGCGGCCGCAACGTGCGGCTTATTAACGTCACGGACGGCGCGGATAACGCCGTCGTGTGTCAGAGCGACGCGGCGTACGGCGACGCGCCGGGCGTCGTCGGCGACGAGGCTGGGTTTCTTGTCGACATCGTCCCGTGCGTCTTCGACCCTCCCGCGCGTTTGAGCGCGGGCGAGTCGTACGTGCTTCGATCGGAGTACGACGCCGTGGGCGTCGCGAGACGTCCGCGCGGTCCCGGATTTCGCGGGCCGTACGAGGGCGTCATGGGGTACATGACGATGGTGTTCACAATCCCAGAGGGGTTCGACATCGGGGTGTTCAGCGCGAGCGGCGACCGCGTGATTCCGCCCGAGGAAGAGGAGGGCGCGGCGAGCGTTCGCACGTTGGAGAACGACGAGGACGACGAAGACGCCGCCGCCGGCTCCGGCGCGTGCGTCGTCGCGGCGAAAGCGGCGGCGGCGAACGCCACCGATGAGGAAGCCACCCCGTGGACCTCGATCCAGTTATCCGAAGACGCGAACTTCACGATGGCGTACAGGTTCGTGGACGACGATGAGAACGTGCAGTTCCGCCTCCGTCGCGAGAAACCCGCCTGGGTCGCGCTCGGGATTCATCGCCCGGGCGGTGACCACATGGCCGCGGCGGACTACGTCGTCGCGGAGAGCGCCGACGACGGCGAGACCTTCGCGGTGTACGAAGCCTACACGATGGCGTACGCGAAGCCGACGCCGAAGCGCGACTTCCCCGACGGCGACGCGCGCGACTCCGGGTTGAACGCGACCGACTGCGCGGTCGTCGCTACAGACGACGGCGTCGTGGAGGTGACGTTCACGAGAGCGGCGACCGTGGCCGAGGGCGACCCGTACGGCGCGAACGTCTCGAGGGGCGTCGCGACGGAGGTGATCTGGGCCGCGGGCGAGGACGGCGCCGGGTTCGAGATGGACTACCACGGGCAGGTCCGCGGGCACCTCGAGGTGACGTTTTAAAAGGGTGAGGAGAGAGCGAGCGACGAAAGAACGACGAACGCGCACCAAGATGCGACCGATGTGGAGGAAACAATTGTCAATGACAACTACTCAGCTACTGCTAAGCTAACCCAGACGATCGTCTGGGTGTCGGTCTAGAGTCTCTATACCGAAGAGGCACACGATTGTGTGCCTCTCGAGGTCGCGGACGGCTACCTCGACGCACGAGTGTTCGTGCGATAGCATGAGTGCTCGTGCGATAGCACGAGTGTTCGTGCGATAGCACGAGTGTTCGTGCGATAAGGTTACTTTTCACCTCTGCTGAAGTTACTTTCACCTGATCATCGTTGCGGACGCCGCTTCCCCCTTTTTTTTGGGTTTTTTTTCAGTTTTTTTTTTTTTTTGCTGTTGCTTTTACTCCAGCTCGAGCGCCTTGGACGCCATCGCGAGCGCGCCGTCGTACGTCTTGTTCCCGCCGATGAACCCCGCGGCGTGCACGAAGATGCACCCTTCGATCCCGGACAGCTCGCTCAGCGCGTCGTCGCGCACGCCGCGCCACGCCTTCGGCAGCCCGCGTCGCGAGTTGAACGACGACGGCGTCTCCGGAATCGCCTGGACGCGCCACGACCCTTTCCCGTCGTCGTACAGGACGTACTTCGGCAGCGTCGTCATCCCGCGCTCCTCCTCGAGCTCGAACAGGTGCTCTTTCCACGGGCAGAACGTCTCGAGCTTCAGGATTTCCCCGGACGCGTGCGTCGCGGACGCGGCGTCGAGGGCGTCGATCACGTGCGCGCGCGCCGGGTGCCACACTTCGCCGTAGTATCTCACGGCGTCTTCAAACTCTCCGCCCGCGAGCGCCATGGCTTTCTCGAACCCGGCCATCTGCGTCTCGTCCGTGAACGGCTCGTTCCAGTTCGCGTTGAACTTCCCCACGCGCGCGCTGAGGCCGGTGTTGTCCACGTACAGCGCGGGTTTGTCGCTCTCGAAGATTTGCACGCCGTTGTCCACGCCGTCCACGCACTCGACGAAGGACTTGTAGACTTTGAGGTAAATCTTCTCCACGATCGGATCGGCCGCGTCCTTCTTCAGGACGTTCGCGACGATCTCGCGGCCGAAGTGCTTGTACACCAACCCCGCGGAGGACAGCTTCGTGGTGTGGCCGTGCCCGAAGACCTCCTCGAAGCCCTTCTGGTGGTGATCGAAGCGAAACTTTTCAGGCTCGTACGTCGCGCCGACGTCGATGACGATGTCGCACTCGCTCAGGAGATCCTGGTCGCGCGTCCTCACGATCGTCGCGTCTGCGTAGGCTTTCGTCAGCCTCAGGAGGTGGCATCCGAGCGCCTCGTCACAGTGGAAGGACCCGTCGTGGGTGCCGATCTTGGTTGGGGCCATCCTCTTCGTGGACATGCAGCGGACGGCGAACGCGCGGATCGCTCGACGATCGGCGGGGGGAGACGAGGGGGCGGCGGCGCGGCGGAACTGACGCGCGGCGGTCGCGTCGCGGGCGGTGACGCGCGCGAGTGCGGAGGAGGTGAGGAGGAGGAAAGAGCGCGTCGTCGACGGCGTCAAGCGCGAAGCCGCGAGGAGCATGCAGAGGCGCAGCGCCGCGTGGAGTGGCGCGCGCCGCCGGTTCGCGCGCGATCTTGCGAACCGGCCGCGTCCAAGAACCAGAAGTCGTCCTCGTCACCATTTTGTTGTTAGCTCTCCCTCTCCGCGGCTGCCGGCACACGCGACCCGCGCTCGCACGCGCCCGCGTTCAGACCGCGCCTCGCCGCATCGCCGTCGCGACCGTCGACGTCGAAACGCCCGCGCGCCTCTCGAAGTCTCGCGCCCGCGCGCGTCTCGCGTCCCCCGCGCCCGCCCTCGCGCTCCCTTCGGATAAAGCGCAATAATGACGCAGCACGCGCCGCATCACGACCCGTCCGCCTCCTCGAACGAATCGAGGGAGGTCCGCGGCGTCGGCTCGCGCCTCTTGCAGCTCATGAAACAAGATGCGGGGGTATCCCAAGCCGACCGCGTCGTCCCGCACGGCGCGCACCTCCACGGCGGCCCGCACGGCGTCGACGCGCTCGTGCAGGGCGGCGTCGGGACGTCGACCGCGTCGTTCCGAGAAGAGAGCGACACCATGGGCGTCGTCAGGGTCCCCGCGAACCGATACTGGGGCGCGCAGACGCAGCGGTCGCTGCAGAACTTCAAGATCGGCGGCGAGAAGATGCCGATGGAGATCCTGCGCGCGCTCGCCATCGTGAAGCACGCCGCGGCGACGGTGAACCAAGATCTGGGCAAGCTGGACGCGCCCCGCGCCGCCGCCATTCGCGCCGCCGCGCTCGAAGTCATCGAAGGCAAACTCGACGAGAACTTCCCCCTCGTCGTGTGGCAGACCGGGTCCGGGACGCAGACGAACATGAACGTGAACGAGGTGATCAGCAACCGCGCGATCGAGATCATGGGCGGCGTCGTCGGGAGCAAGTCGCCCGTGCACCCGAACGACCACGTCAACATGTCGCAGGTGCGTTCTATACAAACGTTTTTCACCCATCGCCCGGTTTCAATATTTGATCGCATCTCCTTTCAACTGACCGGTAAACTTTTTTTGTATGGAATGGCCCGCAGTCGTCCAACGACACGTTCCCCACCGCGATGTCCGTCGCGACCGCGTACGAGGTCCAGGAGGGTCTGATGCCCGCGCTTCGCGTCCTTCGCGACGACCTGGACGCCAAGTCGGAGGCGTGGAGCGGGATCGTGAAGATTGGCCGGACGCACCTCATGGACGCGGTGCCAATCACGCTCGGGCAAGAATTCGGCGGCTACGCGCAACACGTGCGAAACTCGCTCCTGCGCGCCAAGGCGTCCATGGTGCATCTCACCGAGCTCGCGATCGGCGGCACCGCGGTCGGCACCGGGATTAACTCGCACCCGGAGTACGCGGAGCGGATGGCGAGGCAGATATCCAAGCTCACCGGGCTGCCGTTCGTCTCCGCGCCGAATAAGTTTGAATCGCTCGCCGCGCACGACGCGCAGACGGCGCTCTCGGGGATGTTGAAGACCATGGCGCTGTCGCTTCTGAAGATCTCGAACGACGTCCGCATGCTCGGCAGCGGCCCGCGCGCGGGGCTCGGAGAGCTCTCGCTCCCCGCGAACGAGCCCGGGAGCAGCATCATGCCCGGGAAGGTGAACCCGACGCAGTGCGAGGCGATGATGATGGTGTGCGCGCAAGTCGTCGGGAACGACATGGGCGTCGCGATGGGCGGCGCCGCGGGATCCCACTTTGAGCTCAACGTCGCGAAGCCTCTGATCGCGTACAACAACCTGCAGAGCATCAAGCTGCTGTCCGAGGCGAGCGTGAGCTTCGCGGAAAATTGCGTCCGCGGGATCGAGCCGAACATCGAGAGGATCGACGAGCTCATGCGGTCGTCGCTCATGCTCGTGACGGCGTTGAACCCGCACATCGGGTACGACAACGCGGCGAAGATCGCGAAGAAGGCGCACGCGGAGGGGAGCACGCTGAAAGAGGCGGGGGTGCGGCTGGGGTTGCTGACGTCCGAGCAGTTCGACGAGTGGGTGCGGCCGGAGTTGATGACCGCGCCGGAGGTGCCGCCGACGTCGAAGCTGTGAGCGGGGGGGGGCGGGGCCAGGGTCGCTCGCGGGGGGCGGAGAGAGGCGGGTGACGTCGCGCGTCGCGTTCGTAGTCGATTGCATGTTCACGCGTTCGTTCGTTCGTTCGTTCGCTCACGCAGCCGCGAGATTGGCCTCGAGTACGTGCACCATGCTTCGCGAGACTGATAATACTTCTTCCCACCATGATGGTTTGCGGGCGTCTGCGTCGCCGAGCTCCACAGCGACGCGAAACCACTTCAGCGCCTCGTCGTCGTTCTCCGTCAAGCCGTCCAGGCCGTAGTAGTGGGCGTTCCCGAGCCACCCCGCGGCAAGTGCGTTACCCAACTCCACCGCTTTCACGTGCCACTCGATCGCCTTCGACCCGTCGATCTCCACGCCGTCGCCGTGCTCGTAGGACAAAGCGACCATTCTGGTCGCTTCGGCGTGCCCCAGCTCGGACGCCCTTTTCCACCAGTGCACCGCCTTTCTGTTTTTTTCTTCCGTGCAGGCACCGCACACACACACCGGGGGGGGGGGGGAGCGCGAGTACGCGGTGTACTGCGCGAGCCAGTACATGCCCTCAGGGTCGCCGTGATCGGCCGACTTCTCGAACCAGTAGATCGCCTTCCATTGCTCATCAGCTGAGCGAAACTCTTGACCGAGCTCGCTCAACTCGCTGGGAGTTCCAGGCAACGACGCGACTCCCCCCTTCTCCGCGTCCCTCCACACCTTGCTCACCGCGGCGAGCCTGACGCGATCTTCCGGGTCCGTAAGGTGCGAGAGCACGACGGCTGCGACGTTCTCGGGGATAGTGTTGAAGCCGGTGCTCGAGCGCGTCCACATGGCTCGGATCTGAGCGTGCAGCGGCGGCGGGGCGCGCGGAAGAGTGGTCCCTCGTTGCTTCAAACTGGACTTGACGAAGAAGACAAGGAGGCGGGGGACGCTTCAAGTAGAGCTGCGGCGCTGAAGGCTAAACTTCGTCTATTCGTCCAGCAGTTCAGCTGTATTCACCAGGTGTTCACTCGCCTCGCGCGCGCGCCACCGCGAGCCCCCGCCTCGCCGAGCATGGGAGCGTGCGCCGCCCGTGAGCGGGGGGGCGGGGCGGAGGGTCGCGCGCGCGGGGGGCGGAGAGAGGCGGGTGACGTCGCGCGTCGCGTTCGTAGTCGATTGCATGTTCACGCGTTCGTTCGTTCGTTCGTTCGCTCACGCAGCCGCGAGCTCGGCCTCGAGTACGTGCGCATTGATTCGCGAGACTTCCCACCATGGTTCGCGAGCGTTCGCATCGCCGAGCTCCAACGCGAGTCGAAACCACTTCAGCGCCTCTTTTGTGTTCGGCGTCAAGCCGTGCCGGCCGTAGAGGTGGGCGGACCCGAGCCAAGACGCGGAAAATCCACAACCCAACTCCGCCGCTTTCACGTGCCACTCGATCGCCTTCGCGAAGTCTCGCTCCACGCCGTGGCCGTCCTCGTAGCACGTAGCGACCATTTTGGTCGCTTCGGCGTGCCCCAGCTCGGACGCCCTTTTCCACCAGTGCACCGCCTTGTTGTAGTTTTCTTCCGTGCAGGCGCCCCCCGTGTAGCCTGCGAAGGTGTACGACGCGAACCAGAACATGCCCTCAGGGTCGCCGTGATCGGCCGACTTCTCGAACCAGTAGATCGCCTTGCCGTGCTTATGAGCTGAGCGAAACTCTTGACCGAGCTCGCTCAACTCGCTGGAAGTTCCAGGCAACGACACGACTCCCCCCTTCTCCGCGTCCCTCCACACCTTGCTCACCGCGGCGAGCCTGACGCGATCTTCCGGGTCCGTAAGGTGCGAGAGCACGACGGCGGCGACGTTCTCGGGGATAGTGTTGAAGCCGGAGCTCGAGTGCGTCCGCATGGCTCGGATCTGAGCGTGCGGCCGGCGGAGGGGGCGCGGGAAAGTGGGCGTCGTTGCTTTCTTTACCTCAACTGAACTTGAAAAACTCTGGAAAAACTTCGTCCATGTGCGTGCTAACAGCAGCAGTCCAGCTGTGTTCACTCACTCGCCTCGCGCGCGCGCCACCGCGAGCCCCCCCCCCCGCCGAGCATGGGAGCGTGCGCCGCCCGCCCGCGTCGGATCGTCGACGCCGCCGCCGCCCCCGACGACGCGATCGGCGTGGACGTGGACGCGAACCTCGCGCGCGCGATACTCGCGAGCGCGCCGTGCCTTCGAACGCGGTCCGCGCTCGCGCAAGTCTCGCGCGCGTTCGCCGCCGCCGCGAGGGACGTCGCGTCCCTGCCCGCGACGCTCGATCTCGACGGCGCCGACGCCGCGCGCGCGCGCGCCGCGGCGCGGTCGATCGACGACGCGATATTCGCCACCCTCCCGCGCGCGACGCTCGAGAACGTCCTCCGCGCGCGCCCGCTCGAGCTCGAACGACGCGTCGCGCTCTTCGCCGCGTTCTGCGGCCGCGTCGACCTCCTGAAGACGCTCCGTCGCCGCGGCGTCGCGCTCGACGCCGACGTCTGCGCCGCCGCGGCGACCGGCGGGCGCGCGGACGTCCTCGCGTGGCTCGTCGAGCGCGAGGGCGCGGCCGCGGCGTGGGACGTTCGCGTCTGCGCGCTCGCGGCGCGTCACGGCCACCTCGACGTCTTGCAGTACGCGATAGAGCGCGACTGCCCGTGCGACGCGTCGCACGTCCGCGTCCTCGCGCGCGAAGGGATGCACACGGACGTCGTCTCGTGTCTCCGCGTGATGGGCGTGTGGACGAAGGTCCCGGAGCGAGGGAGGGACCTCGTGCGTCGAAAGGCGCTCGCACCGCCGCCGCCGCCGCCGCCGCCGCGGGGGGGAGGGGCGACTTCCACGGGCTCGAGGGGCGTCGCCGCCGGGTCCGGGTCCGCGCCGCCGACGCCGCGGCTCGCGCGGTGGCAGCCCGAGCTCGTGCGCGCGGTCGCGCTCGCGGTCGCGGTCTTCGTCGGCGCCGCGCTGGTCGTCGCCGCGGTGATCGTCGCGGCGGTGGTGCGCGCGTTCGTGCCCGTCGTCGGCGTCGCCGCCGTCGCCGCCGTCGCCGCGGACGCGGCGGAGTGGCGCGCGGAGACGATGGCGAACGGCAGCGCGGGGACGGCGGGGGTTGGGACGACGACGGCGACGGCGACGACGGCGGCGGCGACGCGGAGCGTCTGAACGTGCGCGCGCGAAACGAGACGAGACGACGACGGCGGTAGAGTATTCTGTGTACGACACGCAATTTTCCTGACCTCGACGTGCCGCGCCGTGGTCTCGCTGCGCTGATGAGCGCCGATCGCAGCTGCGATCGCGTGACTGATGAAAGCACGCCCGACCGCGGTTCAGACGCCATTCGGGCCTGCGAAGGCGCCGGGTCGAGCAGCTCCGTCGACCCGAGCACCATGTCCGTGATCGATCGGTTCCCGCACTCCACCGCGGAGCTTCGGCGGGTGAAGGCGGTGCAGTTCGGCGTCCTGAGTCCCGAAGAGATCGTGCGTCCCTCGGCGATCGCTCCCGATCTTGCGATTTCGTCCTCGCCGTTCAGCGACAGCGATCGCGAGGAAAAAAATAGGGTTCGCTCGCTCCCTCCCTCGATCGCGCGCGCTGATCCCCGTGCCCTTTCCCTCGCCTCTCCGTCCAACAGCGCAAGATGTCCGTGTGCGAGGTCGAGACCGCGGAGACGTACGAAAAAGGCCGACCGAAGCGCGGAGGCTTGTCCGACCCGAGGATGGGAACGATGGACCGCAGCATGACGTGCGAGACGGACGGCATGGACAGTAAGGACACGCCGGGGTACTTTGGGCACCTGGAGCTCGCGAAGCCGGTGTACCACCACGGGTTCATCAATAACGTCGTCAGAGTGCTGCGCTGCGTCGGGTACTCGAGCTCGAAGCTTCTTCTGGACAAGGTGCGCGTTCGCGAGCGCGCGTCCGCGAATTAGTTTTTCCCGCCGTCCAGCCGCCGAGGCGTCGCTCCGCCGCAGGATCGCGAGGCGCCCGCGCGGGCGCGATCGCGCGCGTGATCCGCCCGGCGCGCGGCGCGCGCGGCCGCGCGATGGCGTCCGCGCGTCTGTGGGATCCCCCGAGCGCGAGCTCGCCCGGATTCGACCGCCGATCGCGCCTCGCGCGCGGCGCGTCGCGGCCCGCCCGCGGACGAATTCGTCGTCGCTCGCGAGAGCATCTCGCAGTCTGATGAAATCAATCACTCACGCGTCGTGCTCACCCTCTCTCGTCCCTCCCCGCGACCACGACAACAACAACAGAACGACGACCCGCGGTTCGTGGAGATCATGAAGATCCGGAACCCGAAGCATCGACTGAAGAAGTTCGCGGACACGTGCAAGACGAAGAAGATCTGCCCGAGCACCGGGACGCCGCAGCCGCAGTACCGCCTCGACGGCATGAAGATAACCGCGGAATTCAAGGTATCGGCGGATGAGGAAGACTCGGGGATGATGTCCTACGGCGGCGAGCGCAAGATACAAGTCACCGCGGAGATGGCGCTGAAGATATTAAAGAACATCAGCGACGAGGACTGCATCGCGTTGGGTTTATCCCCCGAGCACGCGCACCCGTCGTGGTACATCTTACAGGTGCTGCCGGTGCCGCCGCATCCGGTGCGGCCGTCGGTGGCGTTCGACGCGTCCACGCGCTCAGAGGACGACCTCACGGTGAAACTCATGGAGATCGTGCGGATGAATAAGAACCTGCAGAAACAGGAGATGAACGGCGCGCCGCAGCACGTCATCGGCGAGTTCACGGAGCTTCTGCAGTATCACATCATGACGTTTATGGACAACACCGTCGCGGGACAGCCGAGGTCGCTCACGAGGAGCGGTCGCCCGATCAAGTCCATCTCCGAGCGTCTGAAGGGTAAGAACGGGCGCATTCGCGGGAACCTCATGGGCAAGCGCGTGGACTTCTCCGCGCGCACGGTGATCACCCCGGACCCGAACTTGATGCTCGACGAGCTCGGCGTCCCGTGGAGCATCGCGTTGAACATGACGTACCCGGAGATGGTGACGCCGTATAACATCGAGCGGCTTCGGAAGCTCGTGGAGAACGGGCCGCACCCGCCGCCCGGGGAGACGGGGGCGAAGTACATCATCCGCGAGGACGGGCAGCGGTTGGACTTGAGGTTCCTGAAGAAGGAGTCCGATAAGAGACTGGAGTACGGCTACAGGGTGGAGCGGCACATGATCAACGGGGATTGCGTGCTGTTTAACCGGCAGCCGTCGCTGCACAAGATGTCCATCATGGGTCACCGCGTCCGGATCATGCCGTACTCGACGTTCCGAATGAACATCTCCGTGACGCCGCCGTACAACGCGGACTTCGACGGCGACGAGATGAACATGCACCTGCCGCAGTCGTTGGAGACGAGGGCGGAGGTGCAGGAGCTCATGATGGTGCCGAAGATGATCGTGTCCCCGCAGGCGAACAAGCCGGTGATGGCCATCGTGCAGGACACCCTCCTCGCGTCGCGCTTGATGACGAAGCGCGACACGTTCATCAAGAAGGACGTGTTCATGAACATCCTGATGTGGCTCGAGAACTGGGACGGGAAGGTGCCGAAGCCGGCGATCTTGAAGCCCGAGCCGCTGTGGACGGGGAAGCAGGTGTTCACGATGTTTCTTCCGGACGTGTCGCTCACGAAACAGAGCGCGTGGGCGAAGGATAACGACCCGCACGACTTCTCCGTGGAGGACACGGGCGTCCGGATCGAGAAGGGCGAGCTCATCACGGGCATCTTGTGCAAGAAGACGTTGGGATCAGGCGGCGGCGGGCTGATTCACGTGATTTGGGAGGAGTGGGGACCGACCGCCGCGCGCGGGTTCGTGTCGCAAGTCCAGTGGCTCTTGAACTACTGGCTCCTTCAGCACGGGTTCACGATCGGCATCTCGGACACGATCGCGGACGACGGCACGATGAACTCGATCAACGACACGATCACCAAAGCGAAGCAGGACGTGAAGGAGGTGATCGCCCTCGCGCAGACGAACGCGCTCGAGCTCCAGCCGGGGATGACGATGCAGCAGTCGTTCGAGCAAAAGGTGAACCAGATTTTGAACAAGGCGAGAGACAACGCGGGGAACTCCGCGCAAGGCTCGCTGGACGACACGAACAACGTGAAGATGACCGTCACCGCGGGGTCCAAGGGATCGTTCTTGAACATCTCGCAGATGATCGCGTGCGTCGGGCAGCAAAACGTCGAAGGGAAGCGGATCCCGTTTGGATTCGACGGTCGATCGTTGCCGCACTTCACCAAGGACGACTACGGCCCGGAGAGCCGCGGGTTCGTCGAGAACTCGTACCTCAGAGGGCTCACGCCGCAGGAGTTCTTCTTCCACGCCATGGGCGGCCGCGAAGGGCTCATCGACACCGCGGTGAAGACGTCCGAGACGGGGTACATCCAACGCCGGCTCGTGAAGGCGATGGAGGACATCATCGTCAAGTACGACGGCACCGTGCGAAACTCCGCCGGGGACGTGATTCAGTTCCTCTACGGCGAAGACGGCATGGACGCGACGTACGTGGAGTCGCAGAAGATCGACACGCTGAGGCACGACAAGGAGAAGTTCAAGCGAACGTTCCACCTCGACCCGGACGAGCCGAACTTTGGGAAAGGCTGGATGTCCGAGGCGCAGGCGAACGACCTCGCGAACAGCGTGGAGAAACGCGCGCTTCTCGAGGCGGAGTGGGAACAGCTCAAGCTCGACCGCGCGGAGCTTCACAAGGTGATGACGACCGGGGATCCGTCCGTGCACCTCCCGGTGAACTTGAAGCGGATCGTGTGGAACGCGCAGAAGAACTACGGGCTCGTGAAGGACACTTCCGCGCCCGGTCGGGAGCGCGACGAGCTCCAAGCCGTCAACGTGATCGAATCCGTCCGGAGCATGCTCAACGGCCTCACCGTCGTGCCGGGCGGGGACGAGTTATCCCTCGAGGCGCAGAGGAACAGCACCATCCTGTTCTTCGCGCTCGTGCGATCGACGCTCAGCGCGAAGCGCGTCATGAAGGACTTCAAGCTCTCCCCCGCGGCGTTCAACTGGGTCGTCGGCGAGGTCGAGTCCCGGTTCAAGATGGCGCTCGCGCCCCCCGGGGATGGCATCGGCACCGTCGCCGCGCAGTCCATCGGCGAGCCCGCGACGCAGATGACCCTCAACACGTTCCACTTCGCCGGTGTATCCGCGAAGAACGTGACCCTCGGCGTCCCGCGTCTGAAGGAGATCATCAACATCGCGAAGAAGATCAAGACGCCGTCGCTCACGGTGGCGCTGCGTAAGGACCTCGCGGGCGACCGCGCGATGGCGAAAAACGTGCAAGCGAGCTTGGAGTACACGACGCTTCACAGCGTCGCCGCGGTGAGCGAGATTTACTACGACCCGGACCCCACGGACACGGTCATCGAGGAGGACAAGGAGTTCGTTCGCGCGTACTACGAGATGCCGGACGAGGAGGTGGACCCGGCGCGGATGTCTCCGTGGGTGCTGAGGATCGAGCTCAACCGCGAGATGATGGTTGATAAGAAGCTGCTCATGGCGGACGTCGCGGAGCGCATCAACGAAGACTTCCAGGACGACCTGTCGTGCATCTTCAACGACGACAACAGCGAGAAGCTCATCGTGCGGATCCGCATCATGAACAGCGAGCTCGAGAAGGAGCAGGGCGCGAGCCAGACCGAGGACGAGGTCTTCTTGAAGCGTCTGGAAGCGCAGCTGCTCAACTCGCTCGCGTTGCGCGGGATTCCGGATATCAAAAAAGTCTTCATCCGCGAGGCGAACACGATGGGCCTGGACCCGGAGACGGAGACGTACGCGAAGAAATCGGAGTGGATGCTCGACACCGAGGGCGTGAACCTCCTCGAGGTGATGAACCACGAGGACGTGGACTTCACGCGGACGACGTCGAACCACCTCATCGAGGTGATCCAGGTCCTGGGCATCGAGGCGGTGCGAAACGCGCTTCTGAAGGAACTCAGAGGCGTCATCGAGTTCGACGGCTCGTACGTCAACTACCGCCACCTCGCGATCCTCGTCGAGGTGATGACGTACCGTGGGCACTTGATGTCGATCACCAGGCACGGGATCAACCGCGTGGAGACCGGGCCGCTCATGCGCTGCTCCTTCGAGGAGACGGTGGACATCTTGATGGAAGCCGCCGCGTTCGCGGAGCGCGATCGCATGTCCGGTCTCTCCGAGAACATCATGCTCGGGCAGTTCTGCCCGCTCGGGACGGGCGAGTTTGGCCTGCACCTGAACGAAGACGTCCTGAAAGAGGCCGTGGACTTGGATCTCACCACGCACTCCGCGGACGCTCTCGGCGCGGGGACGACGCCGGCGAGAGGCACGACGCCCGGCGGGGTGGGGTCCGCGTCGCCGTCGTTTTTGTTATCCCCGCAGGCGCACGCGAGTCCCTTCGACGACACGATGCGGTTTTCGCCGTACACCGAGGGCGGAGGCGGCGGCGGCGGCGGCGATGGGATGGGGTTCTCGCCGACGTCTCCCGGGTACAGCCCGACGAGTCCGGCGTACAGCCCGACGAGTCCGGCGTACAGCCCGACGAGCCCGGCGTACAGCCCGACAAGCCCGGCGTATTCGCCCACATCTCCGGCGACTCGCCACA